AGAAGCCAGGATAGATAAACCCCTCAGAAACATGAGGGTAGAGAGAGAGAGAAAGAGGAAACTGATAGCAATGATGGATATATAATCCTTTCCCCACCCCTTAGAGGGACAAACAACAGAAATATGGATGAAGGGATACAGCAGACAGTGTAAAGTATGAAAAAATAATATATAATTTATCAAGGGTTCATGGGGGTGGGATGGTGGGGGATGGAGGGAAAAAGAGGAGCTGATAATAACAAGGGCTCAAGTAGAAAGATAATGTTTTGAAAATGATGACAAAGTATGTACAACTTCGCCTGATATATTGATTTCTGGATTGTTATAATATCTGTAGGAGCCCCCAATAAAGTGATTTAAGTTAAAATAAAGTGTATGATACAAAAAGTATATGCCAATAAAACTATTTTAAAAAGAACCAAAAGTTATAAAGGAAGATGTCTAGGAAGTACTGAAGGCATTAGCAAATAACAAGGCTCTAGGAATTGACAGAATTCTAATTGAAGCGTTTCAACAAACTTATGAAGCACTGTAAACATTTACTCAGTTATACTAAGAAATTTCAAAGATGACCAGGCTACTAGAAGAGATCCATACTTGTGCCCACGTCAAAGAAAGATGACCCAACAGAATGGTCCCTCCCTCTTGATAACACATTCAAATAAGTGAAGCCAAATTTTACTACCCTTGCCTTTAAGGAGCATTCTGGTGCCTTAAAAAATCTGCATTTGTTGGGTAGTTCATTTTATATTCTTTGCTTACATGGTAATTCTTCCTTCTTCATTGTCCAGGTTTCACATGCATGAGACAATTGAAATAGCAAGGCTTGATACAAGCACACTTTATTCCTCAAAGTGACATATTTGATTTTTAATACTTTAAGGAGGCCCAGAACAATATATACCATATATACTCGAACATAAGCCAGCCCGAATATCAGCTGAGGCACCTAATTTTGCCACAAAAATGGCATTAAAAAATGTGCTGAAAAACTCGGCTTATCCACTAGTATATACAGTAGATTGAATTTTTTTGATTGCTGCTTTTATGGGCATTGATTGTGGGCCTAAATAAAATGAACTCCTTGGCAACTTCAATCTTTTTTCCATTTATCATGAAGTCTATTGGCCCAGTTGGGAGGATTTATATATGCATCTATATCAGTATCAACATCAACATAAATAGCTATAGCTGTAACCATACTTACGGCTGTGGTCTTTGACTTTCAATTTTTAATTATTTTATTGGGGGCTCTTACAGCTCTTATAACATTATTTCAAGTCTTTTTTGATTTCCGCTTGCAAGGTTGTGTTATTTTCACATACAAGTGGTGTGGTAGTTACATAATTTTTTTTGTCAACTTGAAGAAATCTAAATGTGTAGGGGTGGAATTCCCTGTCAATCAAGTCAGAGCCTGCTGGTGCCTCCCTGTGGGCATAGCCTTCTCGTATGGAGGGCTCAGAGAACCTCCCTCTTTCTCTGCCTTCATCTTCCTGTTTGCTGGATACCCTGAAAGCTGCCAGTGCCCTGCCATGTTACCACCAACATTGGATCCACATGACTTTGCACCCACCAGCTAGTGATATCTGCATCATTGTACATGACTGCATGATTCTGAAGAGGGACTTATGGACTAGTATTGGTTTTAAGGAATTGAGTTGGACTGGGCTGGCTATAAAGCTCTCTTCTTTTATACATAAAATATAAAAAATTACCCAATAGAATTTGGAAATTATTGAACACCCTGGTGGTGGAGAGTTTAATCATTGGGCTGGGATTCACAAGGTCGGTAGTTTGAAACCAACAGTCACTCCAAAAGAGGAAGATGGGGCTTTCTACTCCTGTAAAGAATTACAGTCTCGGAAGCTCACAGAGGCAGTTGTACCCTATCCTATAAGGTCACTATGAGTCAATATCAACTCAATGGCAGTGAAAATGAGAACAGTAATATCACAGGTGGAAAATTTTTGCTGAAGCTCATTCAATAACAGTTACAGCAGTACATTGATAGAGAACTGCCAATAATTTAAGTTGGATTTGGAAGAGGACAAAGATATCACTGCCAACATCGGCCTGATGGATCTTGGCTGAAAACAGAGAAAACCAAAAGATGCTTATGTTTTACTGACCATCCAAGGCATTGGACTTAACAAGGCCAAGACATTGAGAAGAATGGGAATTCCGTAACACTTCATTGTGCTCACATAGAACCCAGACATGGACCATGAGGGAATTGTTCAGAACAAAACAAGGGAATACTACATGGTTTAAATCAGGAGCGGTATGCTTCAGGGTCATATCTATTCATCATATTTATTCAATCTTTAAGTTGAACAAATAATTCGAGAAGCTAAACTATATGAAGAATATAGCTTAACAGTGCCTATTGCTGAAAGCAAGGAGGACTTGAAGCACTTGCTGATGAAGATTAATGATTACCTTCAGTATAAATTGTAATTCAATATCAAGAAAACAAAAATCCTTACAAATGTACCAATAGACAACATCATGATAAACAAAGTAAATTTGTCTGCAGCTATCCACTGATCACACAGACATGTTTGTCTGGAATAAAATCTGTGCATGTACAAACTGGAACCCCAGTAATAATACTTTTTAACTTATTCTCTAATATATTCTCTTTTTATAATTTTCCATTTAACGTTTTTATTAACAGTTCGTCCGTCCATCCATCCATCCATCCATCCATCCACACTGTGTGGTCTTTTCCAGATTAGGAAAACAACAGAGGGTAACATTGCGGATCCAAGATGAACTAAAGCATTCACAGTCTTTAACGTAACCTGTTAGAAGGAGCTCTGTCGTAAGGCAGAAGAAACAACGGAAAGGTAGTATTTCTAAGCACTAGACCTACAGAGTACAAAATTGCTTTGTCATTACTAGGTTTGGGATAGAGTCCAAGAGAGGAGTTGGGGTCAAAGTAGGAAAGTTTTTTAAGGGCTGATGAGAAAAAAAGTCATCAATAAATCATTATATATCCCTTTTACTGTAAGCCATCATCTGCATGATAAGCGAGGTAACATTTTACTTGTTATTAGTAGGGTGAGCAAACGTGAAAATATATAAAACTCAGATGTATGTTTTTAATCCTGTATTAACCCTGCCCCCC